ATTTTTGTATTTTGTTCGTATCTTATAGCTTCACCTGTAGCTTGAAAACATATAAGATCTGTGTATATATAACTACGATAATTTATTATAATATTTTCACGTATTTTCTTTCTTATTCATTTTTTGTGTCGTAGGTTTGTTCATCCGACGACTTTTTCTGTTAAAACAAATTTATTGTTGTTTACTAATGTAAATGCTCGCTATATCATAATTGATATATGTTGTCTCATGTTCCATTATTCAGGTGGTTTGTCTTGTGTTCCATTATTCAGGTTCTCTGTCTCTTGTTTCATCATTTAGATGCTCTGCCTCACGTTCCATTACTCAGGTTCCCCGTCTCCTACTTAATCAGTCAGATTCTCTGTGTTATGTTCCAATCACTAAGACGCTTTGACATGTTCCATCATCCAAATTCCCTTGCTTCCGAAAAAAGAAAACACATGTAAACACAGTTGTTTTACCAATTTTGAAGGACTCTTAAAACCTTGTAACATTGATGTACAAGCTCGACGTGGTGTTTCAACAAACATATCCGAAATCATCGACACAAAAATAATTCATTAAAATAAAAACAGAATTTAAAATAGTCTGACGAGTTATGAATTATAATCAAACACAAAAGACACTTCAATGTTTAGTTCAGGAGAATGTGTATAGGATTCTGTACCATAAAATCAGTTTTACAAGAAGATTATCATGCAGGTGACTGTACTTGCGGGGAATATTCACATAAACGACAGTGCCTTCATTCTCATCACTAAAGGCACAGGAGATTAGTGTAAAATGTAACACATTGTACAGTGTAATCTTACGGACTTAATTATGCAAAAAATGTTTTCCGGAATTTATTATTATGTTATTACCAAACTAAACCTCTGTTTGATGCCAATCTGGCTAAGCTCTTTTAAAATATTTACATTACATAATATAAATTCTTGTTGGGTTAGATAATTCTAATTTTATGGTATGTAATAAACATGTTATATAAAATAGTGGTTTTAAAAATCAGCAGGTGTATTGACAATGTAAATACAAGTTAAAAGGATCAATGTCATAAATAAAACTTAAAAATACTAAAAACAATACAGATAAGCTCAAGCGGACGAGGTGTATGTGTGTAAAGATACATTCTAATAGTTGTTGCCTTTGTAAGTGGTGGTTACCTGGTGACTAAGCAGTAAGTTTTGTTGGGTTGATACATGTTAACTGTGGTGAGATGTAAGTGGTGGTTACCTGGTGACCAAGCGGTAAGTTTTGTTGGGTTAATACATGTTAACTGTGGTGAGATGTAAGTGGTGGTTACCTGGTGACCAAGCAGTAAGTTTTGTTGGGTTAATACATGTTAACTGTGCTGAGACAAGCAGGTGTTATGTGAGATTATTTCCTGACTGGTGTTGACAATACCTAATAATAACTCACCTGAGAATTACTCACCCCAAATACAAGTAAATGTCAAGTGAGATTACCTTAACAAAACTCTTCCTGAGAATTACTTGCCGTCAAGACAAGTCTAAGTCATCAGAGACTAATTCATGGAGTGTGATAACAAAACGTCTTCTTAAGAATACCTCACCCTCAAGACAAGTCAAAGTCATCAGAAACTAATTTATGGAGTGTGATAACAAAACGTTTTCCTAAGAATACCTCACCCTCAAGACAAGTCAAAGTCATCAGAGACTAATTCATGGAGTGTGATAACAAAACGTCTTTCTAAGAATACCTCACCCTCAAGACAAGTCAAAGTCATCAGAGACTAATTTCTTTTGTTAGACAAGAAAACGCCACCATGAGATATTTTCCACTCTCAAAATATGATTTCGACTTCCACTTTAACAACGTATCAAACTAATCATAATAACCAAAACCTAAATAATATAACATAAATATTTTATAAACTAATACTCCTTAATAAACTATTTCGTTCTTTTGTTGAGTGCTCTGAAAGATATATTTTTTCCACGTAGAAGAAGAGAATTATTCTCTCAAAGAAAGTATTCTCTCAACCTTCAGCGGGATTCTTGCGTTGTTCGCCATCTAATAGGAAAATCAATATTTTTCTGAGAGTCCATTTCTCTCTTCACGCTGCTAGGCAGCAAACTCAACGACCGCTGTGATTATCTACAGAAAAAAATATTCTTTTGAGAAAAATATTACAGGATACACTCGGAAATAGCTGCTCTAGACTTTGATGTTTAAGTGTAGAAAATAGATCCAAGTTTTCATTTTCCATTAAAAAAATGTATGTGGCTAAGCCAAAACAAACGGTAAAAGTTCGAAAAAGAAATTGAAGCTATATTTTTTTAAATCAAAAACCCGTCTTAACACAAACGTTGCTGAATCAGTTTTTCGTAAATTAACCAGCATCTGATATATTAAACACAGTTATCAACTTGTACACATATAAAACGAAAAGTTTACCTCTTTTAGGGCAACATATATTTATCTCGCTTCCTTCATCCTGTGGAGAGTTGATAAAAATCCGCTGACAGATTCACACTAATTCTAGCGAGATTAGTGGAATAAGAAAATGTGTTTTTTGTTTGTTTTAGAGCAAAGTCAAAGTGGGCTATCTGCTGTGTTCACTGCGGGAATTCGTAGACTTACCGCTGTCCCATTGGGGACAGCAAAAAGACGAAAAACAACAACAACAACAGTTTACAGAGTTATTTGTATTTAATTCGGAGTTAAAATTTCGTAGCACTGACCACTCGACGTATTAGAGGATATGATCGTTTCTAGCATAATTAAAAAATATTTTGATAAATTACCCATAGATTACACCATTTAAGTATTCGTTTGTTCTTAGCAAGCAATAAAATTTAATTAATTCGAATTTTTAATAATTTTTAGCTATAACTGCTCTAAATGGACCGGACACGGCCTAGTGGTTAACGTGTGGAGCTGGGGTTCGAGACGTGATACTGCTGAATAATCTTTGCACTCCCCTCTGGTAGTTCAAAATGAGAAACAGCTATACCAGAATCCTAGGGGTTCTTTGACCCGGTCGTTTAACCCACGTGCGCATAAGGTGCTGTTTATTTTGGAAATTCCAATTTTCACTGTTAAAGATAGAATAATATCTAAAATGGATTCCTTTCGTAATTACTAATACTTTATTTAATAATTTAGCAGCCCTTCTTAGAACATAAAATGGAGTCTATTAGAACTTTATATGTAATTATGGAATTTAAAATGTGAAAACTCATAGTAAAGAGAGAAACAATCGAGATGATCCACGAACATCTTCGATTTTGCAATAGTCTCGCCCCCTAGTGGCACGGCGGTATGTCTGCGGACTTGCAGTGCTAGAAACCGGGTTTCGATACCCGTGATGGGCAGAGCAAAGATAGCCTATTGTGCAGCTTTGTGCTTAATTCCAAACAAACACAAACACGCGGTGGTCTATTTACGTTTATAGCCTCTTGTTAATCTACTAGCATTTGGAATACCAACATCCTCAATCTTTTGACCAGTCTTTTCATTCTTTTGCAATAGTTATCTATGTTTTCAAATTTCACTATTTTTAATTGTTATAGTTATTTTTTAATCGATATTCACTGGTCTTGATGCCCCAATTTTGCCTCTTATTTCTTGCCTCGCATCTCTCATCTACTTACAAATCATGTCCACCTTCCTAGTCCATTCTTGAGTCTGCCAGCTTATTGAACTAACCTTAATAAAGGTTTAATTTTTACCGAATGTAAAAATGTTTAAAGTAGAACTTGTATACTTCTTTTTTTTTAACTCATCACCACAAGAATCCAGAATATTTCTTTATGAACATGTTATCCTATTTATATTATAGTTACTTTGTATACTTTCAACGAGACTACTGATGATTCTTGTAAACAGCATCCACTTTGACGAAACTTCTCTTGACATCCTTCTAATATCATCTGGTGTTTTTGTTCCCTCAAAGGTTCCCACATTTTACATTTCTTTCATACGCAGTTTCGTCTTTATGAGCCGTCATTTTTCACAACTATTAAGACACTGATTTTCATTCGAAGTTTTTATTCTACTTGTTCCGACGATATTCTCTAGGGAAATAACCAAGAGTTTAGACTTTTCCGGTAATCCCAACTCTTTTCAACTGCTCTTTACTGTTGTTGTTTGGACGATATTTGTTTCATTTCCCAAGTGTATGTTTAGGAGCACGAAGAAGGCGTTTCGTTTAAATGTAAGTGAAATATGCATCTCATAGATTCCTGAAATACCAACTTTTAAAATATCAACAATGCAGCTTCGCAGTCACTGCCTCAAGTATTATCGTGTTTGTATGCTAGACAGGAATGAATATTCGTTATAATGAAGGTAATGAAACTATCTAACTGTGGAATTTATCCATTATCAGTAATCGCTCTTATACACTCTTAAAAATAATTCCAATTAAAAAAAATCGAGATTCCTTTTTCATGGTATCTCGTCGGGCGGCTATGTTTTTTAAATTTAAAAAGTTTAACGTTAATACGTTATTACTTGTATTCATCATTCTTCTTAAATGTATTATTTGATAACCTATGATACTTTACATATGAACATGGGTGAGGATGTTTTATTATAATTAATACAGCTATTTTTCTTCCGGAAGATTTACGCTATGGTGGTATGATATTATACTTGCTATTATGACGATTAATTAAACTTTTCAAGAGATGGCGCCACATTTCTAATAATGCAATAAGCGTGGATTTGTGACAGCGTGCCCAGATTGTGACTCTGAGGGTTCTTATGTTGCTACTACGGGGTAAAAAGTACGCTTTAAGCGTGAGAGAAAAAAATATAAAAAAGGCACAAACTAAGGGATAAACGTGTAGGTAACGAAATAGAGTGTTTTTATATGTATGCTGATGTGCTTTAAAAGTTATTACGGTAATAATTGAACTATATACTATCAGGTGTTAAATGGAAAATGTGAATAAATGCAAAATCATTACTGTAAGATTCGCTGTTAATTGAATCATAACTAAAAGTTCTAAAGTTTGAGTTTATTGTTTTAGTTTGTTGAACTGGCCAATGCAGACGAGCTTGTCCAAGTTCTATTAAGGAAACGCCGGGTGACAGTTTTCGCTCCCACGGATGACGTATTTGCTCGATCACGTCAGTTTACACCAGAAGACCTGAAGAGACTGCCGACATGTCACGTGGGTGAGCAAACTTTATTGACGTGAAATAGTGGAAATTGATGTTCTGTTTCTACTCCTTCGATTTATTACCAGTATAATTTAATTGTCGCTTTCTAAGTGTATTTTGATTAGTTACGTCTGTAAAGGTAAAAAAAACAAACAAAAAAAAACCTATTCATCATTATGTATTTACGATGCTGTTTTGGTTAATTGAGAATAAAATACATTTCAACTGAATTTCTAATTGTCCAGTTGAAAATTTTTAGTAACAAAGTTGAGACCCAAATTTGATCTTGTATTTATAATTATAGTAATTTGGC